TCCCCCCCCCCCCCCCCCCCCAACTCGAGGCTGTCTATCACCACCCATCTAACAAAGCTTTTCACCACTCCGAAGGAGCCCGTATTCAAATCAAGTGCACTCTATTTTCCACTAGCCACGCGCACACGTACGTGATCCCGAACACACATGTGTGGTCCCGAGCACGCATGTGTGTGGTCCCAAGCACACGTTTCGCCGGACGACCACAGGACTAAAGTCCGTAGTAGGAACACAGGTCGCAAATGTTTCTAGCGCGTGCCTGATTGTGGCAGTACTGACTGTCTAGCCAGCAGGTGTACGCGCAGGTGTGCATTTGGGAGAAGCGGAGGGGTGCGGGGCTGCGTATATTTTCTAGGTACATTTTGCCCGAGAGTGGTTCGACGGTCATGGAGCCGAAGTCGCTGATATTAAGGGCGGCCATCAGTTTGACCATTTGATCGAAGGAGACCTCATAGGCGTGCGGAGTGGGTACGAAGAAGTCTGTTTTGCCATCGTTCTTGTTGCACCTGGCCATACCCTTGTCAGTGGAGCAAGGAATTCTTGGTACTCCGTCGTATTCGTTCATCCAAGTGCGCATGGTCACTCTATCTACGAGTATTTTAGCTGCGTCCATGTCAAGGGACATGGGTGCTGCGAAGCCTACAGCGGCGATATCGTATCCTTTAAGTAATTCGGAAGCGATGAGAGAAGCTACCATGGCCGTGCCAGCACCCAGTGAATGGCCGGAAATGGTTAACTTCACATCGGACTGGTCACATTTTAGATCTTCGACCAATTTCTTCATGACTTTAGACGTGGCATAGGCAACGGGCATAGCCAGAGACTTGAATCCACCGTGGGCGCGGCCAAGACTCACATTCCTGACAGTCAAGTCTTCCATTTCAGTCTGGAAATCTATTAGCCAATCGAAGCTGGCTTGTGTGCCTCTAATTAACGTCGCAAAGTGACACTTGTGTTTGCTGCTTCGCAAGATCACGGCAATGGGCAGGTAGCGTCGCGTTGGCGCGGTCATGGTGTCTGCATAATCTAGGTTCAGTTCGCCGACGGTGTCCCAGCCGGGTAGGAATTCGAGTTCGGAAGCCTGTGTTCCGCAGGCACTGTCGTAACGTGCATATTGGTATAGCAAATTTATGCCGTTGAAAAGCCAGCGGTCCATGTTACCCTGGGTGGCGGGGTAGGTGAAGTCGTGTTTGACGTCCAGGTCGAGTACGAAGCCCTTGTTCGGGTCCTGGTCATACCGTTCACAAGCCAACTCTCGTTCGTAGTGGGAAGGTACGGCGGAGCAGTCGTTGACGGAGACGTCTGCGCTGCAAGCAATTGCAGCACGCGCTACGCCCAACATTGTGCAGATATGTTGGTAGCCGTTCGTCGTATCGTGTTGAAGCGTCGTCGCTGAGTGTTCGCACAATGCAGAACCCAGGTTCTGCATAGGACTCTGGATCGAAATGGAGGTGTTTTTCAACGAAACCTCGATGCTCGTGTTCCCGATCACCGAGTTGATCGTGCTCTTCACAAAGTGCGAACTGAAGAAGCGTGTAACCGTTTCCACATCTGTACCGCTATGCATCATCGCATTCAGGAACGCACTCGCACTTGATAACATGTCCGAGACACTCGCCAACTGCCGCCGTCTCGATCCTCGCAATCCGTCGCTCGCCGCGTAACTGTTGTACACATCTGCTAAGGCATCCCGCACAAATCCCACCCACTCCATCGGGAAGTCAAGGCCGGCACCACCCAGCGACATGCCCACAAAGTTCCGGTACAACTCATCGCTATCCACGCCACCTGGCAACACATTCGGCAAAAGACTGGAGTGACTCACGATGTTACTAGCAGACCCATTCGCCGCTGCGTCCACACCCGTCATGTTCGCCGCCTCGTCCGCGGCCGTCCCGCCCTTATCGCCGCTTGAGGACCCAGAAGTGTTTCCGGAGAGTATTGAGTTGGCCTGTTCTTTATAATGGTCGTAGACTGAAAGTACTTTGTCGACGATACTTGAGGTGGAAGGCAGCGATGTTTCAACGGTCGGCGTTGCCAACTTCTTTAGGAGTATGGACACACCAGCTGCTTGCAACTGACTTGTCGCCGCCTCCTTCGTGTAAGAGTCGCTGAGATTCAGCCCCACCTTGAAGGACGTAAACGGTTCCACATCACAGTCGACCGCGCGCCCCACCTGGGATGCAACCAACCGGTGCACGAACGTCCGCAGGGACGACGTCGCGCCCACCATTGTTGCGTTCGTTGTCCCTGTGCTCACGTATCGGCTGGGCTCTGTCATGTTCAGCCAGTTCAACATCTCCGTGCTTTCCTCCTCACCCGCCTCGTTCGTGTACCACCCCAACGGACCATTAGGCACTACCGCCGTGTACTGGTCGTACGTCTTAGCCGCAGCCAGAATTCCACACAAAACTACCACCACTGTAGGGTTCATGGTTTTTTTCCCCCACACTTCTTTTTCTCGCCAGTCATGTTGAAACAGGCGGTGCATCGCAGGCGCTAGATTTCTGGCGTGTTATATGTGACACAACTCGGCGGTAAAAAGAAGATAGAAAAACTGTACGTGGGTGGCATGCGCTACTAGCAGCCTGTCCTGATGTATGTCCCTACCTCAAGGAAGCGGTGGTTCAATTCGTTTACACCGTTCTGCCTGGGAAGGTACAGTGCGCCCGTCAGGTACAGTGGGCCCGTCAGGTGCTACACCTTCAGCGTGTTCTCAACGTACTGCCTAAACTCCGCGTGGAACTCGGGACCGTTGTCGGTGTACACTCTGGCACATATCATATGAGTCGCACGTATGTTGTACTCCTGTCCCTGGGAAGGCCTTGGCCGCATCATGGACAACGGTTCCTCGAGATTACCTTCATGCGTTCTCGGGGGCCATCAACGCAGGCTCTCATTAGCCGTGAACAATCACCTGCCTTCATTAATCGTCTACGTACACACAAACCGACGGTCTGCCCGCCGCTTCATTTGCGTGACAATAATCCCAAGCCATTCATCTCCACTTCGCTGTCCTCCGGGTAGCCTTCACAGACCAAAAACGTCAACCCACACTTCATTAAAAGGGTACCAAACTCATCTTCTGCCACAGTGCCCTCCAGGGTAAGCATGCCAGGGTATTCCCTTGATAACCACCGCACGTGTCCACCCTAGATTAACGCAAAGGATGTGAGGATGAGCCCCCATGAAAGAGCGTAAGGGTACGCACGCAAAATGCATCGGCACATCAAGGCTGATCGTGGCGTCAAGACGCCTTGGATGAGTCCCGATTGTAAAACGGTTTCGGGCAATGGGCTGGGGAATAAAAAGAGATAACGTATTCAGGCGTGCCTCTGGCGTTTGTTAAACTGCGCTGAGAGCTGCTGCTTGTCAGTCGGTGGGACAGGGTGAGGAGGCCGGAGAGGATCACTCCAGTCGCCGAAGAACTTCGCGTGCGGTCCTGTCCACCTCTCGTCTCCGGGTGGTACAAGTTCGTTGAAGGAAAGGTCGGCGGCCAGCAGAGCTCTCCATAGCGGCCACGCGTGTGACGGAGCTACGCGAGTCATTAACTCTTCAAACGTGACGAGGTTCCGAATGCCTTTACTGCGTCGCTGGACCGTCGCCATGACCAGCCAGTTCTCCCACGGTATCGGAAAGCCGCCCGTATACTCTTCCATGCTTTCGAGCAAAACGGTTGCATTCAAGGGCTGCTTGCAGTTCTTGACTTGAACTGCGATTGCGCCCATTTTATCAGCCTCAACTAGATCATCGTCGCTTCCGCCATGGAACACGGGAATTATCAAGTCGACTGCCTTTTGGTTTTCAAGGGCCGGAATTATGGCAGCCCTTCGAAGAAACGCAGCCCTCAGGCGTTCCTGAGTATATGGAGGGGGACAAGTAGCGAAATGGTTGAACAGTATTGTCCCGGTGAAGTTAGATCTTGGGTCGTCATGCACTTCGGAACTGCCTCCGAAGACCGCGCACCGGAACTCGTGGACGGAACTCGTGGACGACTTCATCCCGGCTCGGGCACGCGCTAGCAACAGCCTGCAGTAGAATTCGCCCATATTCCCCTTGTCGACCGTCCCACAGCCTACTGCCTTCACCACGCTCTTCAATACTTCCTGTTCGTGTTGGAACAATATCGACATCGCACCCTCTGCCAAGTTTGGATCAGAATCATAGCCAACATAGAGCAGTTCTCGGTCGTCGGAAACGTGCAGAAGGGTGGCCATGTGGTGGGACACCAAGGACTCTGCGACGGCAACTGACGGTCGAATTCGGAGCACTCCCAGAATTGCTGCAGCTGCGAAACACGCGCCCTCTGTGTTCAAGGATCCATACGCTGCAATCTTATCTGCAGCGAACTTTCTCAAATCCGCCGCGTCGACATCATCCCCCATGGCTCCAAACAAGGCCATCCACATGGGTCGACCGAAGGAAACACAGTAACCAGGAGAAGCTGCCTCGCTCAGAGTAACCGGTAACTGGAGATTCGCAAACGCATCCCGGGTTGAGATGGCCAGCAGCGGTCTTGGAGGCGTGGATTTCCGTTTCAGCATTTTGGCAGACGTGTCAGAGTGCAGAGAGGGCGCGAAATTCTGAACCTTGGAATTCGTAGAAGCGCACACCAGAGAAATACCCTTAATGGCGAGAGCCCTCCTTACCAGTCGAAAGTAGCTGGTCTCAATCACGCTTGGTGGTAACAAAGCACCAGCCTCGTCCAGCATAAACACCAGAGGGTATCCTTTAAGGCTCGAGAACCGAGCAAGCAGATCCGGTAGGGACCGCTGGGCACCAGGCGACGCTTCTTCCAGATCACTCTCCGTCACGCTCTGTCGATACCACTCCTCGGCCGTTCCTCTAAAAGCGATGCATGCCTCAACCATTAGCGCCACCTCCTCCACAATCGCCTCCATATACCGCCTCTCGATAACAGCAACTTCATCGTCGAGACATTTGTTGACGCGCAGGAGCCGAGACATAAACTGCCTTCCCCGGGCAGTGGGCATCGGGTAGCCGCGGCTTTCATACTGACCAAGAGGCAGGGACATGTAACACGTGTAGTACCTCTTCGACACCTCCTTTAGCAGTCGGCTCTTGCCAAACCCGCTACTTTGGCACAGCGCCACGACATCCACTCGTTCCGTCGAGTCCGCCACCTGCGCGAAAAGCTGGAACGCGTCGTCCACGGCCAAATGCGGTGTACGATATTCAACGTCAAACGCTTTCGCTGCAAGTTGCGCGGATGCGTCGGCCCGAGGATTGTCCGAGATGGCCCCGGGCGTAAAATTGGCGATTGCCGGGTGGCGTAGCGCTTCAAGCTCCTCCTCCATCTTCGCAGCCCACTCCTTTTCCTTCGCCTCCATCTCCGCCTTCATCTCCGCCTCCTTCGCAGCCCACTCCTCCTCCATCTTCGCCTCCTTCGCAGCCCACTCCTTCATCTTCGCCTCCATCTCCTCCTTCATCTTCGCCTCCATCTCCGCCTCCCTTGCAGCCAACTCCTCCACCATCCTTTCATATTCGCTGTTGTTGCCGGGCATCTTAACCTTGACTCGATCCAACTCAGGTTTTTTTCTTTTTTTGGGGGGGGCGGAGGGGGGCGACGTGCGGTTCTGGAATGGGTCCGTATGTCTGATGGTAAAAATTGCCCCGTGTTTCGCGCACACAAATTGCTCCTCGAGGCTTGCTGCAGAAGCAAGTAAAAGCGAAGCAGAAGCGAGCAAAAAGAGATGACGGGACGGGGTGAAGGGGCCGGAGCGAATCACTCCAATTTCCAAAGAATCGCGTGCGGTCCTGTCCATTTCTCGCCTCCGGATGGGAGGCTTGAAAGAACGGTCGGCGGCCAGTAGGGCTCTCCATCGCGGCCACGCGGGTGAGGAGCCATTCGAGTCAATAACTCTTCAAACGTGATTAGGTTGCGTATGCTCTTACTGCGTCGCTGGATCGTCGCCATGACCAGCCAGTTCTCCCACAGTATCGGAAAGCCGCTCGTATACTCTTCCATGCTTTCGAGCAAAACGTCATCCCGGCTCGGGCACGCGCTAGCAACAGTCTGCAGTAGAATTCGCCCATATTCCCCTTGTCGACCGTTCCTCAGCCTACTGCCTTCACCACGCTCTTCGATGCTCCCTGTTCGTGTTGGAACAATACCGATATCGAACCCTCTGCCAACTTTGGATCAGAATCATAGCCAATATGGAACAACTCTCAGTCATCAAAAACGTGCAGGAGGGTGGCCATGTCGTGAGACATCAAGGCCACGATGGCGACTGGTGGTCGAATTCGGAGCACTCCCAGAATTGCTGTGGTTGCGAAACACGCGCCCTCTGTGTTCAAGGATCCATACGCTGCAATCTTATCTGCAGCGAACTTTTTCAAATCCGCCGCGTCGACATCATCCCCCACTGCTCCAAACAAAGCCTTCCACATGAGTCGACCGAAGGAAACGCAGTAACCAGGAGAAGCTGCCTCGCTCAGAGTAACCGGTAACTGGAGATTCGCAAACGCATCCCGGGTTGAGATGGCTTGCAGCGGTCTTCGAAGCGTGGATTTCCGTTTCGGCATTTTGGCAGACGTGTCAGAGAACAGAGAGAGCGCGAAATTCTGAACCTTAGAACTGGTGGAAGCGCACACCAGAGAAATACCCTCACTGGCGAGAGCCCTCCTTACCAGTCGAAAGTAGCTAGTCTCAATCACGCCGGTGGTAACAATCACCAGCCTCGTCCGGCGTAAACACCAGAGCGTATCCCAGGCAACTCTTCTTCCAGCACTCTCACCACTTCTGGATAACAGCAACTTCATCGCATCGTCGATACGTGTTTTGACCCGCAGGAGCCGAGACATAAAATGCCGTCCCCGTGTAGTACCTCTTCGACACCTACTTTAGCAGTCGACTCTCAAACCCGCTGCTTTGACTCTCATCCACTCGTTCCTTCGAGGCCGCAACCTGCGCGAAAAGCTGGAACGCGTCGTCCAAGGCCAAATGTGGTGTACGATATTCAACGTCAAACGCTTTCGCTGCAAGTTGCGTGGATGCGTCAGTCCGAGGATTGTCCGAGATGGCCCCGGGCGTAGAATGGGCGATTGCCGGGCGGCGTAGCATTTCAAGCTTCGCCTCCAACTCCTCCTTCATCTTCGCCTCCAACTTCGCCTCCTTCGCAGCCAACAACATTCCAAAAGCCATGATTACAATCTAGACACCCGCAATACATGTGACACGCCGGCAGCTGCAGTTGCTCCCACAGCAACGGCATCGGGTAGACCTATAAGGTCATTCCCTTGTTCAATGTTCGGTAGTCAATACCGATTCTCCACTCACCCGTTTTCTCGTCGGTGTACATCTCGATTCCCAGGCTGCCATACTTGCTCGCAAACACCCGAACCCGACGATCCTTCGTTACGTGACCCCTCTTGTGGCAGTTGCTGTGCTAATAATCAGTTGGTTGCCCTTCTCGTACATCCCGATTCCCAGACTGCCATACTTGCTGGAAAACACCCGAACCCGACAATCCCCCTCTTGTGGCAGTTGCTACACTCCAAGTTCTTCGTCAGGCCCACATTAGCCCGGTCGCCTTTCTTATGACACCTGTAGCATTCAACCGACCCATCACCTTGACGCTCCAAACTCTGATCCCATCCGCTTTTCCGTCGCGCCCCCGAGGTCACTCTCCCACCAACAGCTCCTGAGGGTAGGCTCTTTGGCTGCCCTTCCTACGTAGTCTCTGGCCTGTCTTGCTCTTCGTCTTCGTCCATTGCAATAGGTTCCCAAGGTCCACGAAGTCATCAGCAGTCCTGTTCTCATTGAGCGGGATCTTGCCCGCGTCAACGACACACACAAGGTATACGTTCGCTCGGCCACTGTAACCTACCAAACTCTCCACTCCCTGCCCAGACCTCTCGTCGCCGATCAAGATCTTGCTTCGTGCAACCAGTCTGCCAATGAACCCTGGTAAGAACCTCGTTTGACCTTCCGGATGTGTTCAAGCCACACAGGGGATGCAACTCCACTTAACACTTCTATCAGGAGGCTTACGGTCGGTCATTCAGTGTCTATTCTCAAAGCAACGTCGTCAACGACCTTGTCTAGTTCTCTCTTCAATTTCGGATCTAACGTTAGACCCTCTGCCCTAGACATGCAACTCCGACGGGTTAGCTCATACTTATGCGACCCTGCCTGCTTAGCATCTTCCTTCGGTTTGTGGAACCCAAACCGTGCCTCTCCGCAACGATACTCAGCTTCATCGTCGTCTTTTTTGTACCCGGGTCGGGGTAGTTCCTCTGTACCGCTCATTGAGCCGTCGGGCTTGGGTGTGGTTGTGCTGCCATGGTAGTTTATAACCTCTACTCCCCTGTTCTATTCCCTAAAACTCTGGGGTACGTAGACACAACACGCACACGACCAGAGACGATACTCCCTGCTGTAGCAAAATGCCTTAGTTAGCCGCCTGATTGTTTTCGTTGAACTTTTCTCGACATATTCTGTCGAACCCAGTCCGGTTCCGGCGGCCGACCTTCTCTTCGGCTTGGGTCGTTCGCAAATGATGGTGTTGGACTCCTCTCTTTTCTTTTTTTTTAGCTCCTACTGGTTTTTGCAGCTCCGCTGGCGCATTAAAGATAACATATATCCCTTCAAGAAACAAATCCGTTATCCCCCGTGCCACTAACAAGAGCCCATCTAACCTTCCGACCAACTCCCACTGTACTATTCTCCGGACCCCCCTCTCTCTTTACTCTTCGACCCTGGGCGTCATACCTTCAAATCACTGACATCGTGTTGAACCTTTTCTTTCTCTTATTTGTGTTGGTCGCCGTGTCCTTGCTCTACCGACGTCCGCGCACCAATTCGGCGGACGACGGTAAGGCCCAGAGACGTGAAGTGCCTCCAGATTTGACCCCAGTTGTTCCTCAAGTACTTACTGCCACAGTTAGCCCGGCTGACACCGCCTTAGCTGCCATGAACAATAACCTTAACTCAATCTTTTCTACCCTTACTGGCTTCCTTGCGGCCCTTGCTAACCCCGACTCGACAAGAAGCACCCCGAACCCTACAACCAACCCAAGTTCCCATTCATCTCCAAATCATGAAGCCCGTTACCGTCTGACGTTGACCGTTTGACCTTCCTACAAGACACCTTAACCAAGTTCAGAGAACACCTTGCCGAAACTCTTAACCTTTCTGTTACTGAAAAGTGTATCGTCGAATACCAGACGCACTTTGCTTCTACGACCAACAAACATACTACCAAAGATAGCCCAGCACAAGATACCTGAAGTGCCCATTTGCTGACAGACTCTTTCGTTCAAAAACCCTTATCTCATTCAAAAGTTATTCTCTGTGCTCGTTTCCTCAAAAAGTGTTTTTGACCACCTCACGACTCTCCAGTCTTGCCGGCCTCTGAGTTCCTATAGGTTCTTGATGCCGAGGTCCTCGCCGCACTGGTCCAGTATTCCTCGCTTTCAAAACGACATACAATCCTTCAGGAAGTAAGCCCGTTTCATACACTTCATCAGTTCCACTTGCGTCAGTTCCACGCAAGTTTCTCAATTTCGCATTCGGCATAGTGAACAGGTTGCGCCCTTTATGGTACCATCGCAAACGCCGGATTGATAACTCGCTCAGTTGTTCTGAGGAAATACTATTGAGTCTTTTTGAGACGATTGCTTTGTTAGGAAAGACGACTTTTTCACCACCCATCCGTCTGCAATTGGTCGTCTTACAATTGGTCGTACCATCGTCCACCGAATTGGTCGTACCATCGTCCACCGAATTGGTCGTCTTACCATTGATCGTGCTCTTCTCCTCACCCATGCTCTGTTTCTCGATGACCGATGGTCCCTTTAACATCCTTTGGGTGAATTCTGCTAATGTCAGTTTGCAGCATTTGCAATTAGACCAAAACTCACCCCTTCTGAAAGAGTACGCAGGCACAGGCCATACGGAATCTTGCGGCTTGCATTTTGCTGATATCCGTCGCCAATCATCCAGGTTTACTGCGTAGACCTCTTGGTTAAAGATTTTCTCCTCCAGCTCTGCGTAAAAATGCCTGTCCAGGGCGTCGAAGACCCCAGCCTGACAAATGACTACGGCGGCGGCGGCGGCGACCAACGGGGCTTGATCGGCAAATTCTACAGCAACGGATATACAACCGTTCATTCAAACTTATCCGGCATTATATCTTCTTCGGGGGGGGAAACGGGG